GTTAGTTACAGCAGGTTAGATACAGCAGGTTAGTTACTGCAGGTTGGTTAACCAGCCAGACGACCCGTTTACAGACAACAGTTTGAGGTATTGGCATGAAAACTCAGTGACAGCTGCTGAAACTCACACTGTGTGTTAAGTTTCTCTGCTCTCATGTTTTCTTCATCACTTCTATACATAGACACACACACACACACACACAGACACACACACACACAGACACACACACACACACACACACACACACACAGAGACACACACATAGACACACACACACATAGACAAACACAAACACAGACACACACACGTCTTATTTATTTCTTCTTCTTGCATTCTGGTACTTTTTAGTTTTATTTTCGTCTTATTTTAATTTATTAGAATTTGTTTAAGTGTCGTTCATTGTTTGTGACTTTTTAACAAAATCGCCTTATTTCTTATTTATTTGGCCTCATTTTACTAAAAGTTTCAAACATTTAAGTCTGCTTTTAATTATTCTTATTTACCTTGTTTCATTTTAAGCTTTTTTTTAATTGTATTTTTGACATTTTAATTGTATTTGTTTTAATTTAGAACTTATTTTATTGGTTTTCACATTTTTCCTTTTCAGTCTTATTTCGATCCACTGATTGAACTTCCTGAGTATTGCTGTTAGTAGGTCATCCTATGTCTTTATATTGATGCTTTCCTTGTTTTTTTCTTGTTATTTTATTCTTGACTGTGGCTTTAATGGAAAAAACATTTGTGCTGGTTCATTTGTTTACTCGTTGTGGTGAAACAGAAGCTTGTCGTGGTCACAGTGGAGCAATAAACTGAACAAAAGTAGGATGAAGATGCACTCGTTTCTCTCTTTTTATGTCACACCTGCGTTGTGTTTTGTCGGCAGGAAGCCTCTGGGTTTCCAGGATCTGAGCGCTCACCTGGAGAGGCTTCTGACTGAGGGGGAACCTGAGGACAGCACAGGTAAGGCTGCTGCAGCACCAACACTGAATATACACAATACACAGAGTGCATTCTGGGTAAACGTTCCAGGCTCATATCAGCATGTGTGATGGTGGCTGGTCAGAACAAGTTCTAGACAATGGAAGGACCGTTTTACCTCCAGAACCTACCAGAAGCATCTCTTTCTAATGTTCTGACTGTTTCTTAGTCATTAAATTGGTGCCGAAATATTCATAATGTGAAGATAAAACTTTACTTCATGAAATATCCTGAAGTTATCGTAGATAAGCAATCAGCTGAAGATGTCTGATGGATTCTTTCTCCTTAAGTCACTGATCTGGAGGTTGTAGAATTTTGATTCTCTGAGCAGAGTTAGGAGAAAACTGTGGTTTGACTTTAGAAACTGAGAAAGTTTGTGATGTGAACGAACTGTAAAGGCTGAGAATCACACCTGTTCACCTGTTTGTGTTCAGATCAGACTGAAGGACGTTTGGGTCCTCAACCTGTCGTCCTCGATCACACCAGCGGCTTTGAAGGACTTCTGTTTGTAGACGACGACCTGCTCGGGGTGAGAGTCTGTCCACCCGTTCACCTGTCTGATCACCTGATCACCTGTCTGAGCACCTGTCTGATCACCTGATCACTTGTCTGTTCACCTGTCTGTTCACCTGTCTGATCACCTGTCTAATCACCTGTCTGCTCACCTGATCACCTGTCTAATCACCTGTCTGCTCACCTGTCTGATCACCTGTCTGCTCACTTGATCACCTGTCTGTTCACCTGTCTGATCACCTGTCTGATCACCTGTCTAATCACCTGTCTGATCACCTGTCTAATCACCTGTCTGCTCACCTGATCACCTGTCTGCTCACCTGATTACCTGTCTGCTCACCTGTTCACCTGTCTGTTCACCTGTCTGCTCACCTGATCACCTGTCTGATCACCTGATTACCTGTCTGCTCACCTGATCACCTGATTACCTATCTGTTCACCTGATCACCTGTCTCTTCACCTGATCACCTGTCTGATCACCTGTTTACAGTATGTTGAAACCTTGAGACAGCATTAACAGAGCTCTCTGCTTTCAGGTGATCGGTCACAGCAACTTCAGCTCCATCAGAGCAACAACATGTGTTTATAAAGGTAAATCCTCTGAGAACATAGAACACATGACTATAAAGGTAAAGCCTCTGAGAACACTGAACATGTGTTTCTAAAGGTAAATCCTCTGAGAACACAGAACACATGACTATAAAGGTAAATCCTCTGAGAACACAGAACACATGACTATAAAGGTAAATCCTCTGAGAACACTGAACAACTGTTTTTCAGAGCATCATCTCATAAATTCCCACAGTAAGCTGAAGATGAGCAGGAGAACCAACAGTCCAGAGTTGACAGGTTCAGTGAGCTCAAACCACACAGGGACTGAGCCTGAAATGAGTCTAAAATCGTTGACATTGTGAATGGAGTCTGGTGCTGCAGAGGTCTGTGCACATTCACTTCATATGTCAGGTTTAATCTCTGCTGCTGTTTGAAACGTTTACTGCAGAATAGAGCAGCCGTGAGCAGCCTGTTAGAGACGGTTTCAGCAGAGCATGGATGTTGTGTGCACTTGTGTTGTTGTGTTGTTCTCCTGTGTGTGACAGATGTTTGTGCTTACTCAAAGCGTCCTGGTTGTGTTGTTGGTTCTGTGCAGGAAAATGGGCCTACGAGGTTCTGATCTCATCCCAGGGCCTGATGCAGATCGGCTGGTGTACCCTCAACTGTCGCTTCAACCAGGAGGTACACAACACACGATAACACACACAGACACACAGTAACCAAACCAAGTGGAGCTCCATGGTCTGTTCAAGTGTTGGAGTTTGATTGTAGAATTATTTTGGAATAAAGACGAAAACTAAAACATGTTTGTGTTTTCAGATTGTTGTTCTGTTTTCTCAGCGTGCAAGTCTGTTTCATGGTGTTTGCAGAATGTGAACACACTGTGAGACTTTGACCAACTGCCTACACACCTGTAACACACCTGAACAACACACCTGTAACAC